ATGTGTTTCTGTACTATTCCTGAAATATTAAAAAAAAAATTAGTATGTACCTTTATGAAAAGTGACCTGTGCTGCTAACACTTCATAAGAGGCAGCACATCAAGGCACTATAAGAATGCTCCTGAGGCTGGGCGCGGTGGCTCACACCTGTAATCCCAGCACTTTGGGAGGCCAAGGTGGGCAGATCACCTGAGGTCAGGAGTTCAAGACCAGCCTGCCCAACATAGTGAAACCCCACCTCTCCTAAAAATACAAAAATTAGCCAGGCGTGGTGGCAGGTGCCTGTAATCCCTGCTATTCGGGAGGCTGAGACAGGAGAATTGCTTGATCCCGGGAGGCTTAGGTTGCAGTGAGCCGAGACTGTGCTACTCCACTCCCTACCTGGGTGACAAGAGTTAAATTCTGTCTCAAAAAAAGAATGATCCTGAAAAACTGAGGAAAAAACTACAGTCTCTACTGTCACATCATGTATCAAGATTTGCAAACAGAAACCTCAAACACAGGATTCAAACAAGCAGAATCCACCCTCAGGGTGTTTGCTTGGAGTCAGAGTGATTTTCCTGCAGGTGGAGAGCAGCTTATGAAATGGAGCACTGACGGTGCCTGGCCCAGAGAGAGCTGAATGTTAGCAGGGTGCCAGGTGCCAGGCTTAAAGTGGTACAGGCACCGTCCTCTTTTGTCCCCACAACGGCCCTAGCAGGTCAGACAAATTGTAAAGTGCCATTTTACAGATGACATAACTGGGGCTTAGGTTTGGTCAGTAGCTGGGGGCTGCCTAGTGGAGTCAATATTCCACCAAATTTGAAGCCCTGGGACCTACTTTGTACCACCTAGCTATTTTCGATATTTTTATGGGTGCCTTGGCCAGTCTAAATTGTGGTTTCCAAAGTACAAGATAATCCTGAAGGGATACAGAAAATATTAGAATGTCTGCATCTTAAAAGTGAGAGAAATTAATCCATATTTAACATAAAAATTGACATTAATACCCTTACTTAGTCTGTGCTGACCTGTCACAGGTGTTGTTCATTTTAGACACTGTGATGTAACCTGGTTTATCTGAGACCAGTTATGTGAAATAATGGATTTTTAAATCTAGCTTTGGCTGGGTGTGGCTCACACCTATAATCCCAGCACTTTGGGAGGCTGAGGCAGGAGGATCACGAGGTCAGGAAATTGAGACCACCTTGGCTAACATGGTAAAACCCCGTCTCTATTAAAAACACAAAAATTAGGCCGGGCGCGGTGGCTCAAGCCTGTAATCCCAGCACTTTGGGAGGCCGAGGCGGGTGGATCACAAGGTCAAGAGATCGAGACCATCCTGGTCAACATGGTGAAACCCCGTCTCTACTAAAAATACAAAAAATTAGCTGGGCATGGTGGTGCATGCCTGTAATCCCAGCTACTCAGGAGGCTGAGGCAGGAGAATTGCCTGAACCCAGGAGGCGGAGGTTGCAGTGAGCCGAGACCGCGCCATTGCACTCCAGCCTGGGTAACAAGAGTGAAACTCTGTCTCAAAAAAATAAAAAATAAAAAAAAAAACACAAAAATTAGCTGGGCATAGTGGCAGGCCTTTAGTCTCAGCTACTTGGGAGGCTAAGGCAGAAGAATCACTTGAACCTGGGAGATGGAGGTTGCAGTGAGCCAAGATGATGCCACTGTACTCCAGCTTGGCGACATAGCAAGACTCTGTCTCAAAAAAAAAAAAAAAAAAAAAAAAAAAAAAAAAAAAAAAAAAAAATCTAGCTTTAACTAATATTACTCTCATAAAAGAGACAAGCAGCTTTAAGACTCTTGTAGACAGATGTGATGGCTCATGCCTATAATTCCAGCCCTTTAGAGGCTGAGGCAGGAGGACTGCTTGAGGCCAGGGGTTTGAGAGCAGCCTGGGCAACACAGGAGACCCAATCTCTATGAAAAAGAAAAAAATGAGTTGGGCATGGGGACTGTCTGCCATCACAGCTCCTCAGGAGGCTGAGGTGGGAGAACTGAGACCAGAAGTTTGAGACTGCAATCATCTATGATCACACCACCGCACTCCAGCCTGGGTGACAGCAAGGCCCTGTCTGGAGGGGGCGGGGGGAAATGCTGGGTGTGGTGGCTTACACCTGTAATCCCAGCACTTTGGGAGGCCAAGTTGGGTGGATCACGAGGTCAGGAGTTTGAGACCAGCCTGGCCAACATGGTGAAATCCTGTCTCTATTAATAATACAAAAATTAGCTGGCGTAGTGGCGCATGCCTGTAGTCCCAGCTACTTGGGAGGCTGAGGCAGAAGTATCGCTTGAACGCGGGAAGTGGAGGTGGCAGTGAACAGAAATTGCACCACTGCACTCCAGCCTAAGAAACTTGGAAATATTTTCTAACCTGTTTAAAAATCTTTCTAATTAAGAATTCCAGGTGGGTCTTAAGCCTATTTGTTAAAAATATAAAATGCCCCTGCCTAATTCATTTGTAAGAACAGGTGATTTAAAGTAATGGAAAATAGAAATATACTCTTTGAATTTCAACAACAAAAAAATTAGCATGGTTGACGGGTTGGATCAAGCAGAACTGACACTACAAATCTTTGTGAAGTAACTTTTTCACCTCTATAGCCATCAAAACTAAGCATCAAATTGAAGCTTTAGAAACAGACCATTCAATTGCTTTATCATGATGAATTAAACCAAGAGTTTTAAACCAGCAAAAGCATTTTCAGTTATATGGCGCTCACTAAACATATTCTTAACTTTGGTGGAAAAGGGATCATGTACATATAACAGCACAAAAATTATCTTTTTATTTTTATTTTTTTTGAAGCAGAGTCTTGCTCTGTTGCCCAGGCTGGAGTGCATGATCTCAGCTCACTGCAACTCCGCCTCCCAGGTTCAAGCAATTCTCCGGCCTCAGCATTCTGAGTAGTTGTGATTATAGTCAGACGCCACCATGCCCGGCTCATTTTTGTATTTTTAGTAGAGACAGGGTTTCACCATGTTGGCCAGGCTGGTCTCAAACTCCAGGCCTCAAGTGAGCCACCTGCTTTGGCCTCCCAAAGTGCTGGGATTACAGGCCATACTTATTTATCTAGTTCCATAAAGTCCAGCTTCCTTTCTTTGGTTCCCTGCCTTCATTTTCTCCCTACTCTCCCACAATCCACCTCTCAGATTATTCTTTCTAAAACTCTACAGCCTTGCAGTCAATACTCTCCAGTGCCTGGTCCCAACTTCCCCTCAAGCTTCTTTTCCCATCAATCCCCCCCATAAACCTTCCCTATCCAACAAAATCACTCTCCTCAGTATTTCCTACACATTCCTTGTATTTTGACTGCCATTCTTTCCCCACATCACACTCCACACCTGGGACTTCCTCCTCAGTCCTCTCTGCCTTTTCAAATCCTACTTATCCTTCAAAGCTAAGCTAAAACGCCACTTGCCACTTATTGCTGTTCAAGAACCCTCTTGTAGGTATAATAGTAAGAGCCAACGTTTATTTAGTGCTTTCTACGTACCGGGTATTTAAGCATTTCACTTAACCACATAACAATCTCCGGAGCTAGCTATGCTTATCATCTCACTATATAAAGAACTGAGAGAGGCTGAGCACAGTGGCTCATGCCTGTCATCCCAGCACGTTGGGAGGCCAAGGCGGTGGATACACTGAGTTCAGGAATTCAAGACCAGCTTGGCCAACATGTGAAACCCCATCTCTACAAAAAATACAAAAATTAGCTGGGCGTGGTGGTGTGTGCCTGCAATCTCAGCTACTTGGGAGGCTGAGGCAGAAGAATAGCTTGAATCCAGGAAATGGAGGTTTCAGCGAGCGGAGATCGCACCACTGCACCCCAGCCTGGGTGACGGAGGGAGACTCTGTCTCAAATCAGAAAATCACGGCCAGGCTCATATCTATAATCCCAGCAATTTGGGAGGCTGAGGGGGGCGGATCACCTGAGGCTGGGAGTTCAAGACCAGCCTGACCAACACGGAGAAATCCTGTCTCTACTAAAAAGACAAAGAATTAGCCGGGTGTGGTGGCATTCCCCTATAATCCCAGCTACTTGGGAGGCTGAGGCAGGAGAATCGCTTGAACCCAGGAGGCGAAGCTTCCAGTGAACTGAGATAGCACCATTGCACTTCAGCCTGGGCAACAAGAGCGAAACTCTGTCTCAAAAAAAAAAAAAAAATCACTCAGGAACAGCCTCATCTACCGCCCAGTTTTCACCAGAGGGTCACTATGTGACTGAAGCCGTTCCTGGGAAAAAAGGAGACACAGCAGAAGATTCAAGTGGGGGACTTGAATGTCCACAACATAACCAAGTGGGACCTTCAAACATGGTAACTAAGCACAACCAGTGTGACAGCTAGCCCAGCCACCAGAAACCCCTACTCCTGTGGAAGTTGTATCCTGCCTCAGCAATTGAGCAGGACACTTCTTGGGTCAGTGGGAATCAACAGGATGTGACTCTAAGGAGGAAATGAGTCCAGAGGGAAACAGACATGGACCTGGGTACATTCCCTCTGCCCTTAACTGGGACAGGTCATCTTCCCCACCCTCAGTATGTCTCTGTTCCTACTCTGGCGTCCAGGGAAGACCCATCACAGCAGTGGAAAGGCTGGGTTTTATTTTAGGTTTGTCAGATGATCTGAGTACTGTCTTTTCTTCTGTCTCTAAAGACCCCAATACTGCAGTTCTCCTTGCAAAAGAAAAAAAAAAGACTCTAATACTCTTCACCAAACATTTGCTAGGTAGTTTCTCATGTTTCTTTCTCTGTAATGTATATATTTTTTGAGACAGAGTTTCACTCTTATTGCCTAGGCTGGCGTGCAATGGTGCAATCTTGGCTCACTGCAATCTCTGCCTCCCGAGTTCAAGCGATTTTCCTGCCTCAGCCTCCCAAGTAGCTGGGATTATAGGTGCCCACCACAATGGCTAATGTTTTTTATTTTTTATAGAGATAGAGTTTCACCAAATTGGCCAGACTGGTCTTGAACCCTGACTTCAGGTGATCCACCCACCTCAGCCTCTCAAAGTGCTGGGATTACAGGTGTGAGCCACTGTGCCCAGACTTTTTCTCTGTAATTTCTCTTGCCTTTTTCCTCAACTATTGTTAAGAGCATGCCTCTTTGTGCTTCTTAGACCACTTAGCATGATTCTTTGCAAGCCTGTTTTAAAAATACACTTGATTAAACTGACAATGTTACTATTTTTTAGAAGCCCATTCAGGCCACTGCAGTGGCTCATGCCTGTGATTCCAGCACTTTGGGGAGGCCAAGGTGGGCAGATCACGAGGTCAGGAGTTTAAGACAAGCCTGACCAATATGGTAAAACTCTGTCTCTACTAAAAATACAAAAATTAGCCAGGTGTGGTGGCGTGTGCCTGTAATCCCAGCTACCAGAGAGGCTGAGGCAGGAGAATCGCCTGAACCGGGAGGCAGAGGTTGCAGTGAGCCAAGATCGTGCCACTGCACTCCAGCCTGGGAAATAGAGCAAGACTCTGTATAAAAAAAAAAAAAAAAAAAAAAAAAAAAAAGGCCTGTTCATTCTACATTCAATGTTGCCCTCAAATTTGTTCCGTGGGCTACTTGGATGAGTTTCACCTTAGCATTAAAGCTGCTCCACCCCTTACTACTTGATGACCTTAGGCAAGCCAACAAGTTAACCTCTCTCTGTATTTGTTTCCTCATCTGTATAATGGGAATACAAATGAGCATTTGCCCCAGAGTTGCTGTGAGGATTAAATGAGGTAACAGATAAAAAGCACTTAAAATAGTGCTTGGCATTTAGTAGGCACTATAGAAATGTTTTTTTTTTTTTTTTCCCAATAAGCTTAAAAGATGTAACTGAACATTCCAATTTTCAGCCTGCTTAAAAGATTAAGCAATGGGACAAGTCCCATAATAATGAAGGCTGCTCAGGCGTCAATAACTAAATTCTAGTCTCCCACAAATAAGTGGCACATCCTTGAGTGAGGTATTTAACTTCTCCAGCATTTGTAACCTTATCAGTCAAATGGGGATAGGTTAGCGGTTCCAGATAGCAGGAAATTATCTCTGGGTGAATATGGGCTGAAAAACATACTGACATACTATCCACTTTAATTACCCCCAGTAGCTAAGGATACTTCAGTTCTCACCTAAGATAAACAGAAAGGATTTTCTTAAACAAGGGCTTTAAGTTACAAACTGTTTATTTCAAAGGCTGTTTTCTAAATAGCTCGGTATTTTTCCAGGGCATAGTCTTGAAAGTGTAAATAAAGGCTGGGTGCACGGTGGTTCACGCCTGTAATCCCAGCACTTTGGGAGGCCAAGGTGGGTGGATTGTTTGTCAGGAGTTCGAGACCAGCCTGGCCAACACGGTGAAACTCCGTCTCTACTAAAAATACAAAAATCAGCCAGGCCTTGTGGCACATGCCTGTAGTCCCAGTTGCTCAGGAGGCTGAGGCAGGAGGATCACTTGAACCTGGAAGGCAAAGGCTGCAGTAAGCCAAGATCTTGCCACTGCACTCCAGCCTGGGCAACAGAGCAAGGCTCTGTCCTCTGTTTCAAAAAAAAAAAAAAAAAAAAACCCGAAAGGTTTAAATAAATTGCCCTTTACACCCATTTTTTTTTTTTAAACGGAGCTATCAAATGTTTTAATATGAAAAAGCTACCTTAAAAGATGGCTATTCAAAGAATATTGATACTCCCACAGAATGAAAACGTTAGATTTAATATGCTGTTTATCTGTATTTGGATGCAATAGAAAACATTAGAAAAAACTTTAAATGCTTTTAAATCAAGTGGAGAATGAGCAAAAGACTAAGTAGCTAGCTCCCCTGTTTGTATTTTCAGATTGGTGAAAGCTGCCTGAAATAATAAGAATCTTGTATGGTAATTCAGAGAAGATACAAATCTGTATACACATTATGGGGCAAATCATCATGGTTCCCTATGTAATACAGCGATTTCTCCACACTCGTTCAGCATATATACTAACAGTGCTTTGTGATGTGGTTACAATGAATTCTCCACAATTCAATTCAACAAGTATTTATTGACCGTCTCCAAACCGCCTAGCACTGGCCCGTACAATAAATGCTTTCTTTGGTCTCAGGCCATGGAACAGCCACTCTATAATGAAAGTATCTTATTGTGTACCAGGGGCAAGGCAGGAAAGGGAGGGGAGAGAGGGAGGAGTGCCAGGCTAAACTGCAGTTGAATTTTTCAATTACATCGACCAAATCATTTCGAAGTCGGAAGGACCTTTTGGGAAAATCCAGTTAGTTTTATTGATGACGAAATTAAGACTTGGCGAGTGTCTTGTCTTATCCAAGGTCACTCAGCTAATCAGCCTCCCAGTGACACAGTGCAATTTCCAAATTCCCTTCACTTCTCTCCCACTCCATGTCAAACAGAGCAACTATCCAGAATTGAAAAATCCACCTAACGTCCCGGACAGCTCTTTTACAAAGACTTCAAAACATTCCATTGAGCCGAAACAGAGGGGGTGTATATAATCTCTACTAAATCCCAATCACTTCTTTATCCACTATGACTAGGCTTCAAATACTCCTTAATCACCGCTCAGTGGTGGGGGTGGGAGAAGGAAAAGCAGGTCTGGAAACGAATGCGGCACCTCAAAATGTGTCCATCTCTCAGCCTTCCGCTCATTTCACCTCGAGGTCCCGAAGGACCCGGGGGGAAGAAACACCTCACCGGAATCAAAGCAAATGGCGACGAAGGGAGAGCAGAAAAATCAAGACAGGGGTCGGTTCCCTCACGACCCCGTTTGCAGAAACGTCAAAGGGCGATGACGACACTGACGGAGAGGGGCCCGCATTTAACTTCTCCCCACGTCTCCGGGCACCCCCGGCCACTGAAACCCTCATCCCCTCCCCGCCTGGTCCCGGAGGTGGGGCGGACACGTCTCCCAGGGAAGACGACGCTTCCTACGGCCGGGCTGGGCCAGGAGGCAGGGGCAAGGACTCTCTTCGTACAACACCGGGGCCGCCTGGAGGGGGTCCCAGGGCTGCAGCTGCGGAGCCCACCCTCGCGCACACACCCCTGCGGCCTCGCCCGCCCACCCCAGAGGCCGGCCCCAAGTCTCACCGTGAGCCCCGGGAGCGGCCTGGGGGCGCTGGGCGAGAAAGGGGAGCTGACTCTGGGGCTCAGGCCGGCCGAAGGGCACCGCACACGGACTTAGGCCCTCCCGACGCCTCGACACAGACACAATGAGTCACAAAGGCCGGAAGTGTGTCAGCACCTCGCCTTCCGGGACCGCGCTGCGCTTCCGGGTCCTCTCTAGGAAGAGGGGAGGACTTTGCATCTCGGTTTCCGAATCGCTGGACCGGGCACCTTGGCCTTAAGTTTTCAAGCCTCCAGGTTGGTGGGTCGGGTCCTTGTTCGCCCCCAGTTAATGCAGGGACCGACGGGAGTAGGTGGTGGGGGGTTTCAGGCTTTCCTCGACTCAAACTCAAACAGCCATTCCAGCTCAGACGCCAGTCCATGTGAAAGTTCGATTTCACCTGTCTTTTCCATCTCAGGCATTCCTTGTAGTAATTATAGTTATCAAGCAATAATAACAGTTGGTAATTGTATGTCTGTGGCAGAGGAACTGAAACAAGGGTGTAGGCAGAGGAAGATCAAAGTGAAGCTGGGGTAGCTGGTTTCCCAAAGCTGCCATGGTAGCTTCTCTCGGGGGCCCTGGAGCTGTATGCAATGGGTGGTATTTTCAAACACTTGGCCTGTGGACAAGGGATGTCTTTCCACAAGCAAGCATAGTTATAATGTTCCATGCTTTGCTCATGTGGCATATGCTATTATAACCGTTTAAAAGGAGTTTTCAGAGTAATAACAGACACTTGTACCTTCAAAGTGCTTTCACAAGCTACCGCAATTACAGCCTTCATCTTTGCCCACATTTTGGGAGGCTGAGGCCTGCTGATAACCAGTCAAGAGATCGAGACCATCCTGGCCAACATGGTGAAACCCGGTCTCTACTAAAAATACAAAAATTAGCAGGGCGTGGTATCACGCACCTGTAGTCTCAGCTACTCAGGAGGCTGAGGCAGGAAAATTGCTTGAACCCAGGAAGCAGAGGTTTCAGTGAGCCGAGATGGCACCACTTGCACTCCAGCCTGGTGACAGAGCGCGACTCTCTTAAAAAAAAAAAAAAAAAAAAAAAGGTGAGGCAATGACAGTATCATTAAAGGAAATTTGCAAAATGGAGAAAAGTAATTACCTGTAATCCCTTTACTCTAACACAATCCCCGTGGCTTTAGTTTATCCTTTTCCTGTTTTCACATACAAATAAATATTTATTGATATTTTAAACTGTTCAAAACTGTGTTGAAGAGGAGGCTGGTACTGGAAGTATCTGCTACATTTGTACCATGTGAACTGTTTTTTAAGGAAGAGAAAATATATTTAGTATTCATTAAGTGGAAGTAGATCATTATCAAGGTCTTCATCCTCATTGTGTTCACATCGAGTAAGCTGAGGAGAGGAGGAAGGGGAAAGGTTGCTCTTGCTGTCTCAGGGGTGGCAGAGACGGGAAAAAAATCCACATTTACATGGACCCATAAATGAACACTTTTTGGACTAAAGCTGATTGGATCAGAGAAGTGTCCTGACCTGAGGTGACTGGATCAACAGGTGTGGGCCCCTTTTGGCAGCACAGCTAATATGTATGCTGACCAGTGGAACCAGGAGCTGGCCTGGTGTGAGAGGTCTGATGACCAGAACGGTTGTGACTGAAGCAATGAGGTCCTCTTTCTTTGGGAGTTTTTTCTTTGTTTGTTTCTTTGAGACGGAGTCTCACTCTGTCACTCAGGCTGGAGGGCAGTGGCACAATCTTGGCTCACTGAAGCCTCTGCTTCCTGGTTCAGGCAATTCTCATGCCTCAGCCTCCCAAGTAATTGTTATTACAGGCACTTGCCAACGCCACCATCCTTGGCTAATTTTTGTACTTTTAGTAGAGATGGGGTTTCACCATGTTGGCCAGGGTCGTCTTAAATTCCTGGCCTCCCAGAGTGCTGGGATTACAGGTGTGAGCCACCGCACCTGACCTGTTTGGGAGTTTAAATGTGAGACAGACACACACAGAAAACCAGAAGGCAAGCAGAAATCAGTAAGCAGAAGTCATCAGGTGATAGGAGCTAGGAAGCAGTAGAAATCATAAGTAAGGAGAGAAAGACAAACAGCTGTAGAAACTTTTGGAAATAGATGCTCAGTGCCACAAAGAAAAATTAGCACCGAGACAAAGGATCTTTTAGCAACTCAATTTTTACTTCCTGGACTGCAGGAAGGGTACTCTTACTAGCCATCTTGCCAAGAGAGTAAAACAAACAGAGGAAAAGCAGACATATTTATCCCTTATGCATTTGGGGTCATCCTTACTGCTATGTCTGATCTCCATTGGCTGGAGCCAGACCTCACAATCTAAACTAAAACCCAATTGGCTAACAACTTAAAACTTTTCTAAACAGATAAAAGCAATGGAGAGCTGGGACATGCCTGTAAGCATGTACAGCACAGATATCTTGGTTAAAGTACGAGGACATAGAATGTACTATGTCCCTGTAAGCATGGCATGTCTAACAGCCACATAGGATAGGGTTTAACAAAATTATTAGCACACTTACGATTTATTCTTTAACAAGAAAGGAAAGTTTAAAAAGGAACTTTTCTCCTTCCCACAGAAACCAAGGGCTGGCACAGCACAATGGCAGAGCACACAGAAGGGAGCCCAGCCACCTACTACTGGGGGCACACAGCTCGACAAGATGACAGCCCGAATAACCTCCAGGCCCCAAACAATGATTCATTCTCTACATTGCTTGATTTAGCTGCAGATGCCATTATGCTCTGTCTCCCTACTTGCTTGCATGTCCTTACAACAAATCTCTGTCTAACTTTGTTCCTTGCCCCCTGGAAAAGCTCAATGTAATAACTAATGTGAAATCATGTATACTACTTCAAAATGCGTGGCTGGGCACAGTGTAATCCCAGCCTCTAATCTCAGCACTTTGGAAGGCTGAAGAGGGAGGATTGCTTGAGGTCAGGAGTTCAAAACAAGCTTGGCCAAAATTATGACAGCTTGTCTCTACCAAAAAAAAAGGACCAAGTGCGGTGGCTCACACCTGTAATCCCAGCACTTTGGGAGGCCAAGGCGGGCAACAATCATGAGATCAGGAGTTTGAGAACAGCCTGGCCAATATGGTGAAATCCCATTTCTACTAAAAATACAAAAATTAGCCGGATGTGGTGGTGGCATGCGTCTGTAGTCCCAGGTACTTGGGAGACTGATGCGACAGAATCGCCTGAACCGGGGAGGTGGAGATTGCAGTGAGCTGAGATCTCGCCACTGCACTCCAGCCTGGGTGACCGAGCAAGACTCTATCTCAAAAAAAAAAAAAAAAAAAATTTAAAAATTTAAAAAATTAGTGAAGCAGTCCTAGCTACTTTGAAGGCTGAGTTAGGAGGCTCACTTGACCGGAGTTCAAGGTTACAGTGAGCTATAATAACACCATTGCACTCCAGGCTGAGCAACAGAGTGAAACTGTCTCTACTGGGTGTGGTGGCTCATCCCTGTAATACCAACATTTTGGGAGGTGGAGGCGGGAGGATCCTTTTAGCTCAGGAGTTTGAGAACAGCCTGGGCAACATAGTGAGACTCATCTCTATCAAAAGTTAAAAAAAAAAAAAAAAAAAAACATTAGCTAGGCATGGTGACACCTGCCTGTAGTCCCAGCTACTGAGGAGGCTGGGGTGAGAAGATCACTTGAGCCTGGGAAGTCAAGGCTGCAGTAAGCTATGATGGTGCCACTATACTCCAGCATGGGAGATTGAGACCCTGTCTCAAAACAAACAAACAAACACGCATACACACACATGCACACACACGAAAGCACAGTTGCAATTCCTTCCCTTTCAAAGAATAGAGTCTTTTTCTTCTTGTTGCATAAGGAAATTCTCTGTGTATTTCGGAAGTGAGCTTCCTAGCCCCTCACTGGAGGAAAATTAGCCTTGTATAATGACAGATGCAGCTGGTTGTTTTTAATTCTTGGCATCTCTTCACGGCCTTAGACCAGAATCAACCTTCCCCAAAATTTCTGTGGCCTCAGTACCATGGAGTTGGTGGCGACATCAAACAAATTCACACAGCATCTGCAAGCTGCTCACTGGCCCTGCTTGCAGGAAGTCTAGTCCTCCTTAGGTAAGGTGGATGGCCCAGGTGGGAGGAGCTCAGGCCACAGCAGTCTCCAGTGGATGGGCTATCTAGAGAGAAAGCCCGGGGTCTGGGTGAGGAGTCCTGAGGCAGGTCCCAGTTGACCACTGTCTAATAACAATTAGGTAATGACCATGTATTCTTCCGCATTCGCTTCCTCTCTTCCAGCTACAGTAGGTCCCTTAAAAAAAAAAAAAAAAAATGAGCAGAATATGGGTCAGGTGCGGTGGCTCACTCCTATAATCCTAGCACTTTGGGAGGCTGAGACAGGTGGATCACCTCAGGTCAGGAGTTTGTGACCAGCGTGGCCAACATGGTGAAACTCCATTTCTACTAAAAATACAAAAATTAGCCGGGCATGGTGGCGGGCGCCTATAATCCCAGCTACTCAGGAGGCTGAGGCAGGAGAATTTCTTCAACCTGGGGCGGAGGTTGCAGTGAGCTGAGATCTCGCCACTCCACTCCATCTAGGGCGACAGAGTGAGACTCTATCTCAAAAAAAAAAAAAAAAAAAAATTGTGATCCCTGTTCCATCATTGAGGACATGCTGAGTTAACCCTGGTAAGTGTTAACTTACCAGGGTTAACTCAGCTCCTGGTAAGTGCTACTGAGATCTTCATTTCCACCATGGTAGTGTGGCTTTCACTGAGAGAAGTCTTTGCAAAGCACCTATCAGGTGTGTGTGATGAGGTGGTGGGATGGGGACAGATTGGTGGATAACATTTCTGTTATCTTTTCTTTTTTTTCCAAAGTTAGGGAGCACATTCTCCAGAGACCATAGGAAACAAAGAATATCAAGCATGGAAGAAAAACAAATACATAAGCCCCTCTTCAGAAAGAATATGTTTTGTATTTTATTTTATTTTTTTAAAGACAGAGTGTCTCTCTGTTGCCCAGGCTGGAGTGAGATGACATGATTTTGGCTCACTGCAACCTCCACCTCCCAGGTTCAAGCGATTCTCCTGCCTCAGTCCCTCGAATAGCTGGGATTACAGGTGCCCAACACCATACCTGGCTAATTTTTGTATTTTTAATGGAGACAAGGTTTCACCCTGTTGACCAGGCTGGTCTTGAACTATTGGTGTCAAGTGATCTGCCAGCCTCGGCCTTCCGAAGTGCTAGGATCACAGGCATGAGACACTGCACCTGTCTTTTTTTTTTTTTTTTTTGAGACAGAGTTTCCTTCAGTTGCCATGTTGGAGTGCAATGGCATGATCTCAGCTCACTGCAACCTCCACCTCCTGGGTTCAAGCAACTCTCATGCCTCAGCCTCCCAAGTAGCAGTGATCACTGGTGCCCACCACCATGCCTGGCTAATTTTTGTATTTTTAGTAGAGATGGCGTTTTACCATGTTGGCCAGGCTGGTCTCGAACTCCTGGCCTCAAGTGATCTGCCCATCTCGGCCTCTTAAAGTGCTGGGATTACAGATGTGAGCCATACTCAACATCTTTGATTACTTCCTAAAGGTAGATTCCAAGAAATTAGGTTACTGGTCCCACAGATAGTCAGAGGGGCTATAGGCAATAACATTGTTAACCCCAAGGTTCTAGACCTGTCAGCAAACAAGCTCAGCTGATGAGATCAGGAGGTATCCATGCAAGAGTTTTGAAAGAACCCAAAGATGAAAGTGCTGAAAGAATCATGAAATGTAATGATTTATGATTACAAAGAGACACGGTGCTTAAAAACACCACAAATTAAAAATTAGCTGCCCTGAGCAAATAAAAGTTCGCGAAGGGCACCCTAGAAATTATGGGCTCCTAAGTTTGACTTTCGTGTTGTGCAAGCTAGTGGGGTCAATGCTGAAGGGAAGCGTTCCTCTAGTATGTCATGCCGTGTTGCAGAAACCATGCATGAAGGACCTTAAGGTATGCTTCCTTGCATGGAAAAGCGAGCTGTGAACTGTCGTTAAAGGTTTCTTCCCATCCTGGTCCCGAAAGACCATAAAGTTTCACTGGAGAATCACCTCCCTACTACATTTTGAAGGCAGCCATGACTTTATCCAGCACTAGGTGATGACTTTCCTTGGAACTGGTATATCGTGAAATCCTACCATCATTTTAATTAGCATGGGAAATGTTGGAGCACCATACACAAACAAATTCCTTTCTTGGCTTCTTGGTTGCCCTTCATATGCAAAATCCATGTTTTTTTCCCCCTAGCTTCTGTCACAGGATCCTTGGGGTGTAATTTTTCTGGCCAGAAACCTCTGTGGCCAGTAGTGCCTTTGCTGGAGTTTTGCTTGGGCCCTCTGGGCTCATTCTGCCCACTCAGTTTGGCAGGCTGCTCTTGGTTCGTGCCACCAGTCTTCATCCCATACTTAGAGGGGTGAGGAGTGTGTGAGTGAGTGAGTGTGGGGTTGGGCCACTGAGGACAGCCAGGCATGCTGGCTGTGGCAGGGCAGGCAGCTCCATGTGCCTGCTCCCTGCAAGGCTGTGGCTAGACCAGGCATACTGCAAGCAGCTTCCATGGCTGGCACCGGGGAATGCAGTGGTGCCCAGAAGCTTGGAGACACCAGTAACCGCAAAGCCCCAAAGAGCATGTCACAGCCCTGGCTTGGCGAGCTCCTAGGTCTGGGCTCCCTGAAGAACCAAAGCTCTTCTCTCCTTCTCTCTCTTCTCCTTCTTGTCACCCACAACATGGCCAGCAAGGGGTATGTTTCAGCCCAGTTTGTGTTATAGCTCTTTCAGCCCTGCCATTCAGCAGGTTCCTAGTTCTTGTCCTGCATCCAGGAAAAATGAGGTATGCGGACAAGTGGAGGGTGAGCAAGGTGAAGAAGTGCTTTAATCAGCAACAGAACAGCTTAGAAGCTCAGAGGAGACCAACAGTGGGTAGCTCCTCTCCACAGGCAAGTCATCCTGTTATCTGATGGAGTCTGGCTGAGTCTGAGGTTTTTATGGGCTTCAGAGGGAAGGAAGTGCCTGCTCATTGGTCCATGGGCAGGCCTGGAAAAAGCACAGTAAGTTCTCACTCCAGTCCACAGAACTTGCAGCCTGACCTCCAGGCCTCAGGCCGTCCCTGGCCTAACGGTGGGGCTTCACTGGGGACTCACCCCTTTCCATTCAGTGGACTGTCTGCTTCCTGCTACCATTGTCCTACCATCCCTGGTCCCCACAGCAGTCAGCCTGTTCATACTGAGGGGTGCCTGCAGGCCCGTGCCCAGCTGCCCTTAGCTCTGCCTTGGCCTCCCTCCTGTGGTCATGGGTGCCTAAAGTCTGGAGGGGGCTGAGGTGGCAAGGGGCTGGTGTGTCACGTTTGCCTAAGCGTGCTTACACTCAGCCAGGTTGTGACAGCTCCAGGGCTTAGACACAACTTTGCTCTGAAATCAAAGTGGGTTCCAGGAGCAGGGAGAGGCCAGGCAGTGGGAATAGGCACTTCCAAACCTGTGGAGGCAGAGACGCTTCCCAGGCTCCTGAGAGTGCAGAGATGCTTGGGTTTGCGACTGTGGCTGGGTGGCTGCAGCTGCTCCTGGAAGGGAGGGGCTCCTGCCCCTCCAACTTGGAAGAAGGGGGGCTTCCATGTGTTTGCAGCTCCTTCCAGCTCCATGGAGTGCTGCAGTCTCAGCTGTGCCTCCCTCACTGCAGCCAGCATCATGGCAGTGGCTTCTCCAGATGGGGCACTGTTGCTATTGCTTCCAGTTGGGAGGCCACAGAAGGCTTGGAAAGGGATTGAGCAGGCTCTGCTTATCCTATAGAGTTATTTCCACATGCAATTTCCTTCTTGTCACAATCTGATAATGAAAAAGAAATGTCAAAAATACATATTTGAAAAATCTCACAGGAAGAGGCAAGGGCCCTTTGTAGGAAACTAAGAAATATGTTCCATTTATCCTCAGAAGACAGTAGATTATTTTCATTCCCATAGATGAACCATCTTCATGGACATTTCAGAGTTGCCTAGTAACAATTAAAAAATAAATAGAAGATTCAGGTTGGGTGTGGTAGCAGTAATCCCAGCACTTTCAGAGGCTGAGGTGGGGGGACAGAGTTCAAGAGTTCAAGACCCCAGGCATAGGGCACATTACAAAAAAAAAAAGAAAAAAAAAAAAAAGAGTTCAAGACCCACCTGGCCAACATAGTGAAACCCCATCTCTACTAAAAATACAAAAAATTAGCTGGACGTGGTAGCATGCACCTGTGATCCCAGCTACTTGGGAGGCTGAGACAGGAGAATGGCTTGAACCCAGGAGGTGGAGGCTGCAGTGACCTGAGATCACGCAACTGCACTCCAGCCTGGGTGACAGAGCAGGACTCTGTCCTAAAAAAAAAAAAAAAAAAAAAGAGAGAGAGAGAGAAGATTCAGGGAAGAAGGTAAATTGACAATCTTGACAATCTCTCTCTCTCTCTGTCTCCAAATATATATATATTTGACACAGGGTCTTATTCTGTCTCCCAGGCTGCAGTGCAGTGGTATGATCACAACTGACTATAGCCTTGAACTTTTGGGCTCAAGTGATCCTTCTGCCTCAGCCTCCTGAGTTGCTGGGACTACAGGCATGCACCACCACACTTGGCTAATTTTTAACTTTGCTGTAGATATCGAGTCTTACTATGTTACCCAGGCTGGTCTTGAACTCCTGGGCTCAAGCAATCCTCCCATCTCGACCTCCCAATGTGTTGAGGTAACAACACAGTGAGTTATGGGGGTCTCACTATGCTGTCTAGGCTGGTCTTAGACTTCTGGGCTAAAGCAATACTCCTGCCTTGGCCTCCCAAAGTTCTGGTTTTACAGTCGCCATGCCTGGCAATGCCACCTTTTTTTTTTTTTGAGATGGAGTCTCCCTTTTGTCGCCCAGTCTGGAGTGCAGTGGCACAATCTTGGCTCACTACAACCTCTGCCTCCTGAGTTGAAGCAATTCTCCTGCTCCAGTCTCCTGAGTAGTTGGGATTACAGGCACCCACCACTATGCCCAGCTAATTTTTGTATTTTTGGTAGAGACGGCCAGGTTGGCCAGGCTGGTCTCAAACTCTGACCTCAGGTGATCCACCTACCTCGGCCTCCCAGAGTGCTGGGATTACAGGTGTGAGCCACCGCGGCCAGCCAGATGCCACCTTTTGATGGGAAGTGGTGTGATTTTGGAATTGCAATGTGGGACCAAAAATACTGCCATGGTCACTTTTGGGAAATACAGTCTACCACTACTGTGCATCAGCCACCCAAACATTGGCTTGTGGAGTTCAGGGATGAAATCCTCAGGGGGCCTTGGGGACCTGCTTACTACTCAGTCCCCTGTCCCTGTCGATCTGCCTTCTGCCCCTAGCAGGGCACTGCACAACCTCCTTTTGTGGGGACTCTTGGGTGGGGGCACCAGTTGGACAGCTCAAGCCCAGCTACCTGCTTCTCAGTCCACTTGATCTGTGAGAAACTTAGGCGCCTTTGGCCACTCAATTGGTTGGAACATGGACCTCCTCTGGTGCCACTGCCCCTCTCTGGCTACCTTCTCTGGTCATCTTAGTGGACTAATTGAATCATCCACTACCTGCCTAGATGGGAGAGTTTTCTACCTAAAATAATGCTCAACTAGAGGATGAGGTTTTGTGTAGATATGGAGTCTCCCCTGTGACTGAGACTCCTGCTCCCCCTGCCCCCAGGTCGTTTTGTGTTTTTGTTTTTTTTCTTTTTTTTGAGATGGAGTCTCTCTCTGTCGCCCAGGCTGGACTACAGTGGTACAATCTCGGCTCACTCCAACCTCCGCCTCCTGGCTCAAGCTATTCTGCCTCAGCCTCCCCAGTAGCTGGGGTTACAGGTGCCCAACACCACGCCCAGCTAATTTTTTGTATTTTCAGTAGATATGGGGTTTCACCATGTTGGCCAGGCTGGTCTTGAATACCTGGCCTCAAGTGATCTGCCCATCTTGGCCTCCCAAAGGGCTGGAATTACAGGCGAGAGCCACAGTGCCGGGCCTCTGCCCCAGGTTTTGAAGACATCCTCACTTGTCTTCATGGTGAGGGGGCGACGGAATCAGCCACGGAGGAGGAGAGGGATGCCCCCTGCGATAGGCAGAAGGCATTTGGCTTCTACAAAGTCCTTTCTCTCTTTCTTCCTGGTTTCATCCAGACTTGAGGAGCAGAAAAACTGGCTGAGCAAGCAAAACACCCGAGCTTTTCTGTCTGTCATGTAGGTGGCATCTCGGATCTTTGCTGTGGGCTAGGAGTGTCCTCCTGAAGTTTGTCCTTCTTTGTTCTCAGCTTTGGACTCCAGCCATGGACAACAGAGTCCTAGCCCACGTCCAGTCACACGACTGCAAAAGCACCTGGGTCTGAATGAGGATGTTTATGAGAACATTAGTGCCAAATCAAATCAAATCAAAACAAACCAAAAACCCCCAGCCTTGTGGCCTTATTCCCAAGTAAGCCCAAGTCATATCCTTCTTTGCTATGATGTGTAGGGGAGGGGCGCTGGACTCAAACGGCCTCGGTTCTCATCTTGTCTGTACCGTGTACTCTTGGCATAGTTACTTGAACTTTTGGAGCCTCAGTTTCTCTGTAAAATGAGGATTCAAACAGCACCTACCTCACTGGGTTGTCATGAGGCTTGCATGATGGAGTTGATTCATGTAAATCAGCAGTTGCAGGGCCTAGCACATGCTAACGGTATTGCTATCACTCTCTCTCCCTCCCTC